CAGCAGGGAGGATCCATGTCTGATGCCATGGCAGGACAGGATTTGCAGAAAAAATCCATGCAGGTACTGCTGCAAAGTATGCAAAGGCCCATGGGGCTTCTTCTCCACCCTTGCTTTAGATAGTAATGGTAATTCTAAGTTTTATTGTGTTTTTTACAAGCATAGATCTCAAAACCCTATGGTACAGACTCATCATTATCATCTTACAGATGGGGTCGCTGAAGCATAAAGAAATGAAATGACTTCCCTGGAACCATTAACTGGGCAAATGACAGCGCTAAAAATAGAGTCCAGATATTCAACCTTTCATACAACCCATTGCCATTCCTAACTCAGAGGAAAGATGCCAAGAAAGTTAGTTAAAGCAGGTAGCAACTATTTAACTGAATACAGTTACTGAATCCTCTTGGCAAGATGCTTTCATGAGATTCTCCACCTAGATGTCTCTGACGAACCAACACATTTTTGGAGAAAAAACGGTTGACAGAAAGGACAGCAAGCCACATATGGCTGTAGCGTACGTCAGTCACACAAACCCTAATATGTTCAGAAGTTCCAAATGCCTTTTAAAGCTAATGGTCTGTGCACTAATAGCTCCTGGCCCTGGCATCCAGGCTAGCAGCTGGTGCCACTAATTGGTAGCCCTGAGGATGAGCATGTGTGCAGGCGACTGGATTTCAGGAGCGGTGAAAGGATTAGGATTCCTGCCTTGCTAATTCTATCGTTCAGCATAGTCTTTAATCAAGATGAAAAGTCAAGAGACCGCGAGGGGCTAACAAACAACAGCTTTGCCCGATTACCAGAGTCCAGCTCAGTCAGACCTGACAGGCATTGCCTGGAATGGCCGGGCCAGTAACAGCTTGTAAAACTGCCCGAGCTGCAGCTGTTCTTCTTCCCTGTGGTGTCTGCTGGACAATGCTAGAAATAGCATCAGAGAATAATATGTCTCTCTCTGGCCTTTTTGGGGATGCAGGGTCTATTATTTGAGGGGTGGATGTCAAGTCATATAAAAGCATCCAAACACCTCCAGCTAAGTCCAGAAGAAATAAACAGCCTGTCTGATGTGGGCTTGTAACACCTACTAGTGAAGACATTAGCATCTTTCTTCTTTTTCTCCTTTCTGGTCTCTGCTTTGTGGAGTGTGGGAGCCTTGTAAGGCCATGGCAGAGAGAGCGAGTGCACTGAAATGGCTCAAGAAGATTGTCACAGAGCTGAAATGGTTCAAGGAGATGCCATGCATTGCTTGAAGCCTGTAGAGAGATCCAACCCATATCTGGAGGGCAGTTTGGAAAGATAGTGTGTTACTTGAGCTGTGCAAAGGAATGGGTGCCACCTGTTTTCTTGATGGCAGGAGGCATCTTCTGATGTCCATTTTTAACCCTGATAATTAAGGTTTTGATGTTCCCTGTGAAGTTTAACATAACCTGGAATTAACCCATTTGAACACCATCTGTCTTTGTCCCCTTGAGAGCTGAGCTGGCCCAGACTTGGGAGTTTCAAAGTCCCTGCAGCTGCTAGGAATCTCTTTCTGATGCTCTGCAGAGGGTCCAGGGCTCACTCCAGTCTCCAGGTTGGATTGGAATAATTTCAGATTGAAAATCCTTTGGGGAGACTCTCCCTGCATTGATGACTGAGGTTTTGCAGTGCCCAATTCCAGTCAGATGTCAGAGGTCTTGTTATCTTCCCTATAACTTCCACTTAGTGGTTCCAGATCATACGGTGGAGACCAGAGTGTCACAGTGAGACACAGAAAGAGAGCACCAGCTCTAAGCAGGCTCATCAATAACCTACCCACCATTCTCCAGAAATATCCTTTCCCATTATGCTTGTAACTGAGTCTGAACCTTGCTCCAGATGGCAGTGGGCTGAGGAGATGAAATTTTACTTCAGTCAGAGCTCAGAGATGCACAAAAGAGGGAAATTGTGAAATTGCAATGACAGGGTTGTTTGGGTAGCTTGTGATGTTCTGGCTTTAGAGAAATCCATGCCTAATGTGCCTGCATGGCAAGGTAAACTAAAGACCATATAAATCTATTAAAGCTTAACATAACAGGAAGAAACCCATGTCTCCTGGACTCCTTGCTGTCTGTAAGTGTTAAGGCTGGTTTCTATATGTTTTTCGTCAGTCTCTCCATGTTAAATTGCTTCGGATAAAGTAGAATTTGGTTACTACATAGTTTAGAGGCCTGGGTCTGCCATGTTCACACTTCCTGTAGACTACATCATGATCAGGCACAATGTGACCGTTCAGGGGCTCATGGAGGAGAATAACCCTCTCGGTCCTTGCACCACCCTACCCTTTCTTCTGGTTCCCCTGCTGCTGTAGAAGGGAATTCCACCGCTTATGTTTTCTACTTCTCATGAGGCTGATCTCGAGCCGAGGGAGTGAAGCCCCTTCCAGGAGCCAGAACGGAACTATGAATGGAGTTTGTTTCATGCAGTGGTAGGATAAGAATCTGCTAATTGAAGTGCTGGGGTGAACTGCTTGTCTTAGGCAAGGCATGCATGAGTGGATGGTGCCTTACAGAGATGGAGGCTCAAAGCGGGGTAAGAAAGCACCTTCCCATGTTTTGAGGTGTGGTGCTGCATTGCTCTGTATCATGGTCTGGGTGTCCCATGGAGAGAGTGAATGTCCTAACTTGGTTGACAGAAGGGGAGTTGGTGGAGTCAGAGCACAGCTTTAATTCTGCCTCCACACCTCCACTTCCCCTCTCCTTGTTTCTCCTTCACTTCCATTGGCATTTGTCACCGCATTTTCTTTCCCCACCTTCCTGTTTTGTTGTTCATATGTTTTGTTCCCTTGATCTTAACAGTCCTATTTCCAGGCCTGGAACATTTAGGAGTGTTTGAATTCAGCAAATATTTTCTGTTCTGTTCAGCGTGGGACTTCTTAAAAGGTTAGCTGTGTTTTAATACAGCATCATCAGTAGCAGTGCATTGAGGTTAGAACATTGTATATTAAACATGCAAACAGATACTTTTCACAATAGCTGTCTCATCTTTCACCATATATTAATAATGCAGGGAGTTCTAGATCATCTGTCCCTGTCATTGCTACTGCATATTGATACAGTCACAAGGACTAGATGTTAGAGAGCAAAATATGCGAGGATGTTCCCTGACCTTTTCCTTTGTCCCCATCAGTAAATTCTATAGGTTCGGTAGAGGCAACCAACACTGTATTCTGGCAGCAATATTTTGGTAATTTCTGTAGTGTGGAGTCTTGATAGAACCAAGCATGAGGTGAATGCTATTTAGAAAGGTTATGTTAGTACAAATCTTGATGTTCCCCTGACTTACTTATATGATCCTCTTCTGTGCCAAACAGTGAAATCTAATTCCCATTCATGTCTCTGATCTCTGTCTCACATCACTGCAGGGTGCAAGCATACATCACTGAACACAGTCCTACCTGGAAAGCTGTAGGACAGTATAAAGGAGGCTGCAGGGGGCCTGGGGAGGTCACTGAGTGCACCCCACAACCCTGAGGTTGCAGCAGGCTTCCACAGGACGACGTAGGTTTTTGAAGACTGAGTTTGGGGAGAAGTGGTGTATGTCTCCAGTAACAACTCTCTTTGTTGAAGAGGTAGGAGGGAGCTGCGTTGCTAAGCTCCAAAAGTAGACAGAGGCTGCACAAATGGGGGGTGTTGCCTGCCTACAGCTCCTCAGCTACTGCGGGTACATCCCCAGGGAGGGTCTCTCTCCTGTCTTGACAGAAATGACTCAAGCCCTAGGGTCATGGGCACTTTCCTCATGCTCTCAATATATGCGTAGTGAAGGAAAGCCAACCCTCTATTTTTCTTCATGAAATTCAAGATCCCCTCATTTGGGTACCTGCAGGTGGTGGGACTGAAGTGGATGGCACTCCTTTTTGCTATTGTCCATGCAAGCAGGGCTGGCCGTGGTGAATGTTTGCAGGCATACAGTGTGGAAATGCAGGGTCCCAGGGTCTCCCCTCCAGCTGGCAAGCACAGCTACCACCTGCCTGTATGGGCAAACACTGGCAGCTGCTGTTGAAATGCTTCAGTTCCCCTAACTCTGAAGCCACGGTGCAGTGCTGCCTTGTTATTCCAAACATAAGAGTGATAAACGCTCCTCTAGTCTCCATTATATTCCCAGAGTTGATGGTGGTGGCAGGAGCTCAGCTCACGGATGGGTTTTCCCTTGCTGGTGTCAGAGCTGGGTGCCTGGTTGGAGCTGTGCCCTGTTTGCGTGGGGCAAGCATAAGGACACTTGTGTCCTCAGGGGGAAGTCCATAGGAGAGGTGACATTGCTGGAGAAATGCATGCTGGCACCCACAAGCAGAGTCATAGCAAGGGTGATGGGAGCTGGACCCCGAGCGACAGCTGGGGTGGGAGTGATGGGTGATGCTCTGCAGAGAGATGCTGTGAGACTTTCTGGAACAACGAGGACAAGGACTGAATCTCCCAGAACTCTTCCAGGCACTGGTACATTAGAGCCCCCAGACTAATGTAATTAATGAGACATCCCACTTTCTGTGATAATGTGTTTTGTGTGACTCACCCTCATGAAAAAAAACAATTCCATGTGCCTCCTAATGGGACTCCTGGTCTTTATGTCCTGGTGTTTGCTATGAATTATTTAAGACATCTGGAGGGATTTGTGAGTAATGAAATCTCTGCTGATTTTGTCTCACCTCAGATGACTCCAAAGGCCTAGTTAGCAGCTTTGGTTCTGTTTCAGACTTGTCCTTCACCTGCAGATCAGCCAGCTTGAAAATTTTTCCATGCTTTTGTCCTCTACTTTGACTTAGCTCTTAACTATGTTTCCTTCGTTTTCCCTCAACTTAAAAAATAAGATATGTCTTTATGTGTCACGTGTCTGCTTTGGGTATGCTAAAGCTGGGTGTGTCAGAAAAGGAAAAGGATCTTATTCAGGGAAGTTTGTGCAAGATGTGCTTAAGTTCTTTCTTGTATTCAAGCTCTTGGACCTCACGGGCCCTTTCCTTTTCATTGCAGATGAGATCCTAAGGTCCAGAGAACTACAGGAGCAGCCAGGACTCTGGGTGCCCTTTACTCATGGCCATCCAAGCTTCAGACAGTCAAAGACACCTGGAGACTCTTTACAAATCGTGGTTATAATGTCTATCATGGATAAGCCACCATGTGAGTCAGTCATACCAATCTACAGGTTCAAGGCAGACAAAGTGGATGAGGAGTGCTGGCTACCATACAGATCATATGACCCACTGCAAACCCAGAGGTTCAGCAGGTCTATGGTTGGTGTTTCCATTGAAATAAGGAAGTTTGTTGAGGGAAAAAGAAGATGAGGAGAGGAGGAAGCACAGGACTTCTTGGCTTTGATGTTCAAAGGAATGAGCAGATCCTCTTCATGGGTGAGTAAGCTGACAATAATTTAATGGTAGGGGTGTTTGTGTTCAGGTTTGGTTGGTTTTTGTTTTGTTTTGTTTTGTTTTGGTTTGGTTTGGTTTGGTTTGGTTTGATTTGGTTTGGTTTGGTTTGGTTTGGTTTGGTTTGGTTTGGTTTGGTTTGGTTTGGTTTGGTTTGGTTTGGTTTGGTTTGGTTTAAAAAAACCCCAAAACTTTCACATTCACTTTTTCACTCTATGCCTTGAGGTCACATTGCACTTTTAGAATTTGAGGCCGTGTGAGGACATTCTTCTAGATATGGCCTTGGAACAGAGAGCCTGAAGGAAACATTGGGAAGATTAAGGATTGCTTCAAGAGAATGCATGAGAACAGACAGCCAGGATTTCCCAGAGCTAAGAGCTGCTGCAGACCCTTAGTGCTTCGTAGAAGCTCTGAATCTGCCACTGCCTATGACCAAAGGGGATAAACCTGAACATCTGTGACCTGTGGCTTTTGACCAGAGAGGGACAATCCTCCTTATTCCAGGGAACGAGAGTTTGCTTTGAAGCACTTCATGCCCCGCTTTTACTGACATTAGAAGGGCACAGATGTTAGGGTAGTGATTCTATTTTTAGGAGCCTGCTTGAGATTACAAGCCTACAATAGAGCAATGGAAAGGGAACTAGTCTTGCTTGAAGGAAATTAGTTCAGAGGCTTTTGTGGAAGCCAAAATACAGGGATGGATGTTACAGTGCTGCAGTGAGTGGGGCTTTGATACAAGCTGCACTTCTACTGGGCATAGATGCTTCGAGTTCTTGGCCTTTTCTCCAATTTGGTGTACATTGCCTAAATTCTAAAATAACTAACCCGTCAAATGCTTGGAAAAATCAGTTTAGAGGACAACACCTTGAAATACTTATCCTCAAAAAACAATGGATGTTACAAGTGGCTAAGTTAAGCAGGTGCGGTGGGATATTTTCATCCTCTTTTCCCGAGTAGGACGATTTAAGAATGCTTTAAAAACAGAACCAATGTCAGTTTTAAGAAAAATAATTCAAATAGCTCAGAATTTTTCTACAACCATCATAGACCAGATCTTTGTAAGGTCAACCCCTTTGTCTCACATTTAAGGTCACACAGGGGACTTTAAAGCAGAAGCCAAGGGAGTGTGCATGTCAAAGTGAGAGGTGGGAGCATATCCTGGCTGACGTTGTGTCCTTTGGCAATAGTTATCTATCGCTATTTGTTAAAGAAGCCTTGAAATGTTTTTAAGTTATAGCAGAAGCCAAATCAGGAAGGGTTGTAAAAGCTACTATTACATCTCAACTTCCCTGGTGTTCCTGAACCAGTGCTGGCAAGGCTCAAAGGAATGGCTCCATGCAAATATTTGGCCTCATTAGTCTTAATCAGACATCCTCCTATTCTCACCTCATTCCTCCTCTCTTCAAAAAAGCTCTAAGAAAATTAATTTATCTTTGCATGTATAGTTAAAAAGAAAGAATACAAATAATCATGTTAACAAGATTTACATTTATTCCTGGTATAATTTTCCCCACTAGGGAAGTTTGTCTTAACCTTTACAACAGTCTGTAAATGCGTTGTCCAGTAGATTGACGTGCTCTGTGAATTAACAGATCTTAGTCAGAGGATGACTTGGCTCTGCTCCCCTGAAAGCAATAGAAACAAATGGGATATTATGGAAAGAAAATTTTTAAAAATCTGAAGACTGAAAGAACAGCATGATTGCTAATTCTTCCCAAGATGCAAAGTTTAAAAACAATTAGATGGAGGCAAAAACTGTGCTAGAAAATCCATCTCCATGTGCAAAATTTTCTGTTAGCAATAGCAAATTGGACAGTGAGTTGAAATTCTCCCCTGTGGAGCAGGGGAAAGCACAAAGGCTTCTACCCCTCTAAAATTTTGTTTGTCTCTATGGTACTTACAGAGCCCTCATTAATAAAGTATTTAAGCATGTTACAACCCTATTGCAGCCCATGAGAACAGCATTCATTTTGCAGGCATAAACTGAACTACAAGAGCTATGTTAACACTTACCTTGGCTCGGCTGTCCTGGGAACAGCAGACTGCAGCATCCCAAAACTGACATCTGCGCATCTGTGTTGCCCTAATGACCAGGTTGCACTGCAAATCTCATCTGCTGCTGTGGAAGGTAACAAGATATTTTTAAGATACTTGGGCCATTTTACATCGCCAGTGTCAGTCATCGGGTGACTCTTACGAAGAAGGTATGTGGGGGGACAGGAACAGCCCCAGTGGCCCATCTACCTTGTACTCACAGCCTGCCCGGCAGATACTGGAGCTGAACTGCCACCAGTGTGAGCATCCAAATCCTTCACCAAGTGAAAAGCAAGGCCATCTGTGTCTTTGGCCTCTAGGCAAGCCTCAAGGGTGACCTCTCACTTTAGAGCAGATGCAGCTTGTTCAAGGTTAGGCAGAAGGTCTGTGGGCAAATCCAGCTTCAAGTCCTTGAAAGCCTGGGGAAGCGACTATGGCTGAGGGCCTTGGGTCATCCTGCCAAATGAATGGCTCCTGATACCTTGCAAAAGTCTCTGTCTTGGACCATGGTGTGGATGGAGCACAGCTCAAAGAGGTGACATTCAAGGCACAGCCTGATAGAAAAAGGAGCAGATTTCCCAAAGTGAGGTTGAAACTTCACCTCAGAGCTCAAGTGGCCTTTGGTAACCTCAGGAGGAGGATGACACACTGTGGTCCTTCTGATCACAGGCTCTGGTAAGAATGACCCAGGAAGGTCTTTTTCAACCCTAAATTCCTATATCTATCTATCATCTTTTGAGAAAAATCTTAGATTGGTGATGAGTTTCATCCTGTTTGTGAATGTCCTCTTGCTTCCAACAATGCAGGTGGTTGAATACTTTGCAGATGAATCAACGTGGAGGGAAAAGATGTCCTAATTAGCTGCATGCTTTGTCTTTCCGAGTAATGACACACAAAGTTATTTCAAAGTTGTGGCTCAGAGGTACTTGGTAAATAAGATATCTAGATGCAATACTTTTTTTCATCTCTACTAGATGAAATGTTAGGTGGTTTTGAAGAAAGTTCCAAAACAACAAGACAAAGATAGAATAGTCACACATTAAATGTTGGTGAATTCACATGGAAGTCAGGAATTTTCCCATTTCAAGAATCATAGAATGGTTTGGGTTGGAAGGGACCTTAAAGATCATCTAGTTCCAGCTCCCCCACCACGGGCAGGGACACCTTCCACCAGCCCAGGTTGCTCAAATCCCCGTCCAACCTGGCCTTGAACCCTTCCAGGGAGGGGGCAGCTACAACTTCTTTGGACAACATATTCCAGTGCCTCCCCACTCTCACAGTAAAGAATTTCTTCCTTATATCTAATCCAAATTTACCCTCTGTCAATTTTAAGCCCCTACCACTTGTCCTATCACTACGTGTCCCTGTAAAAAGTCCTTCTCTGGCCTTTCTGTATTCCTCCTTTTAGGTACTGGAAGGCCACTATAAGGTCCCTCCAGATCCTTCTCTTCTCCAGGCTGAATAACCTCAACTATCTCAGCCTAGCCTCATAGGGGAAGTTCTCCAGTCCCCTGATCATCTTTGTGGCCCTCCAATAGGTCCATGTCCTTCTTACAGTGGGGACCCCAGAGCTGGATGTAGTACAGCTGGTGAGATCTCACAAGAGTGGAGTAGAGGGGGAGAATATGTTCCAGATTTCTCATCTCTCCAGGTCTTCTGTTTCCTTCTGTAGAGGGCCCACATTTTCCCTAGACATCCTTTGATCACTCATGTACCTATAGCAGCTTTTTTTATTGTCTTTGACATCCCTGGCCAGATTTAATTCTAGCAGGGCTTTGGCCTTTCTGACACAATCACTGGTTGCTCGGACAATTTCTCTGTATTCCTTGCAGGCAGCCCGCCTTTGTTTCCACTCTCTCTAGGCTTCTTTTTTGTGTTTGAGCTTCTCCAGAATCTCCTTGTTCATCCCTGCAGGCCTCCTGGCATTCTTACCTGACTTCCTCTTTGTTGGGATGCATCACTCCTGAGCTTGGAGGAGGCGATCCTTAAATATTAACAGGCTTTCTTGGGTCCCTCTTCCCTCCAGGGCTTTATCCCATGGTCCTCTGCCAAGCAGATCCCTGAAGAGGCCAAATTCTGCTCTCCTGAAGTCCAGGGTAGCGAGCTTGCTGTGCACTCTCCTCCCTGCCCTAGGAATCTTGAACTCCCCCATCTCATGGTCACTGCAACCAGGGCTGCCCTTGAGCTTCACATTCCCCACCAGCCTTGGTGAGAACAAGGTCCAGCATAGCACCTCTCCTCACTGGCTTCTCTATCACTGGGAGAAGGAAGTTATCATCAGCGCATTCTCGGAACCTCCTGGATTGCTTGTGCCCTGTTGTTCTGTCCCTCCAACAGATATTAGGGTGGTTGAAGTCCCCCGTGAGCACCAGGACTTGTGAACGTGAGGCTGCTCCTACAGAGGGCTTCATCCCTTCAGTCTTCCTGGTGGGGTGGGCTGTAGCAGACCCCCACTATAATGTCACTAGTCCCTGCCCTCCCTTTAATCCTGACCCGTGAGCTCTCGGTCGGCTCCTCGCCCATCCCCAGGCAGAGCTCCCTGCACTCCAGCTGGTCACTGACACAGAGGGTGACCCCCCCACACCTCGTCTCCCCTGCCTGTCCTTCCTAAAGAGCCTGTACCCTTCCATCCCAACCCTCCAGTCACAGGATCCATCCCACCACTCCGTGATGCCAATAAGGTCGTGGCCCTGCAGGCGTGTGCACGTCTCCAACTCCTCGTGTTTAGTCCCCTGCTACGTGAGTTTGCACAGAGGCATTTAAGTTGGGCCCAGATGAAGGTGACTTACTGGCTGGAGTGCCTGGAATTCCTTTGTGCTGCTCTTCAGGTGCTTTCCTGCTGCCCTGTGACCCCTCTCCAGGCTCTGGGCATCTATCGCTGGCACTGGCATCAAACTGGTAGGAGTGGGAAGCCCATGGCCGAAGATGCTCTTCCCCTTCTCTGACAGATGGACCCTAGCAGCCCCCAGCAGCCCAGGTTTCCCAGAGTGAGTCCCATGGTCTAAGCAGCCGAACTCCTGGCTGTGGCACCAGTCCCGTAACCAATTGTTGATTTGACAGATTCAACTGGCCCTTTCAAACCCCTTCCCCTTGACTAGGAGGAGTGATGAAAAAACTACCTGTGTTCCAGAGTCCCTCACTGCCACTCCCAGGGCTTTGCAATCCTTCTTGATACACCTCAGGCCACTCCTGGATGTATCACTGGTCTCCGTGTGAAACAACAGCAGCAGAAAACAGTCAGTGGACTATATGAGGCTTGGTAGGTGGATATTTATCCCACAATACTTCCCTAGGCTGTTTTAAAAGCCAGGAATTAAAGATCGTCTTCCAGTGTTCACCACTTTCCATATCTGGAATTTGTTTAACAATAAATTGAACATGAATTTCCAGTTCTCAACTTTCACCAGGAATTTTGGTCCTGAGATTTTCTGCCCAGGGTGTTAAGGATAAGAAAGTTTGATAAGCAAGAAATTGTTTTAATATGAACCAGTGACTTTAGACAAAGTTTTCCTTCCAGAAGCAGCTAAGCTCTGAAGCTCCTATCCCATGTATTTGATCATGAAACTTATTTGCTGTCACTGTGGCTTCAAACATGTAATTTAATCACTCTGTGCCTCAGTTTCCCCTTCTGAGTGGAGGAGATAAATGTCCGCACACCTTTGGATAATTCACTGATCCACATAGATGAAAGCCACCAGCTAAAATAACAATGTTAAGGATGACTTATCCTGTTGTTGGGGTGTTTTTTATTATTTGCCCTGCTGTGGTGCCGGGAAATTGCAGTTGTGGATAACTTTGAGCAGTCCAACTGTGTAGTCCCTCTGCCCCACTCAGGGGACCTCGGGACCTTGCGGGAAGGGAGGCAGGTGAGGCAACACACTTTAACCAGATCAATTTTTGACTAATTTCATGGTCACCGTTGCCACCTTTCAACATCCTGTGAATATCCACTCATTCTGTCTCATTTTGTTCATTTGATCATTTTTCCCCCTGCCTATTTCAAAAGTTCAGATTTTTTTCCCAGCTAATTCAGAACAAGGAGTGCTAGGGAAACTTTGTGAAGCATTCCTAAGCCAGAAGAGAAAACAACAGCCTGCCCAGGAGGAAAACACAGGCTGGATATGGAAACAGCTGAATACTACAGATGCAGACCAAATTCAAATGCTTATTAAAAAGCAGGGGAGGGCTTTCAACAGGGAGAGCACTGGGAGTCATTGCTGGTAGGGTACCCCGCACTGGCAGGAAGACAACAGCAGCTTTTTGATGTCTTGTCATCTTAAACAGGCACAATATAAAGTTCACCTAAACCCCTGAGCAGCCTTGGGCTATGAAATTAAGCAAGTCCAAAGAATGCTGTGGAGAGAGTAAACAAGGAGAATCCTTGGAACTATTTATCGCTCTAGAATATATACTTTTTGGAATATGCTTATGAAGAATGTAAAATAAGTTATTAGCAGACTAGAAATCAATTTCCTTTCAAACACAGTTATTCTTGGTTGTGATAATCCGTCCTCTCAATAATATTAAAATACAGAAATTGATTCAAACTTTGTTCCTCGGTGGGAATGTATGTCACTATGAGGCATCGGAAATCTTCTTTACTGCTTCCCCATAAAGGCCAGTCGACAAATATACGAGTCATCGTGGGAGTGGGAAAGTTTATTTATATTTTTTCAAGAGATATTTAAGATCTTCTTTCCACCTTTCTTCAACTTTGGCACTTTTTTATGAACTTCTTGTTGACACCTGGAAGGGAAATAAGAAAAAAGGAGGGATCCACAAGCTTCAAGCAAGGATAATCAGATGTAGCTGTAGCTTATTGTCAGTTCATGTTATCACTTGTGGGCCCAATCCTGCTCACATCTGCAACCTGGCCTCTCTCAGCACCTTGCAGTGCCATCAGACCCAGCAGCAGAGCCTCATGCAAACATGGTTTGGGGGGCCGGGTTCAGGATGTTTGCCTAAAGCTGTTCTTGTGTCTACTTGTCACAGTTTGCAGACAGAAATGTATTCTGGCTGGGGGCTCTTGTTGTTTCTCCGTAACTATTTTTACACCCATTTTATGGCTCTAGGTAGTAGGGAGTAAGAGGATGTAAA